TCCTTTTTTGTTAAGCACTGACCTGTTGGGGAATTCGGCTTTGAGCGTGGGTGAGTAAATTTACGCCTAATATTGCTAAACATGTTGTATAAACTTGATTTCAAATGAGAACAATTTAAATGCAACGAACAGTTTAGTACACGGAGACTAACACACAGAACATAAAATACAGTATTATGCAAATAGCATCCAATGAAGTTATAGCGTATTTAGATAACACTTGGAGTATTAGACTGAACAAAACAACCGTAAATATGACATGAGAGGAACTAAACCTTGGAAAGGAAAGCACTTCAGAGGAAAACGGCTAATTTCACCCTATTGAAAGACGCGCATCGTATAACGTTCAAGCACTTGGTTTGCTAAAACCAACACCCACTCATTGAATCCCCTAAGAATTCATAGGTGAGTTCAATCGCATAAACCGGCTCGTTTTACAAATTTTTCGTTTTCGAAATAATTACAAATGCATAGAAATTATTAGATAAATGTCGCTACTTTAGAAATGAGATGCATCCGAATAGAATACATGATGTGTTTGAGAAAATTTGAATAAAACAAGGCTCAGATATTCTTCGCGAGCTCGGAGAGACTCAGAAATTCGACTAAGAATTGGGATTAGGACAATAAGCTAACATTATTGTAGTTTGGTTTCTTTATTTGATTTAAAATAACACATAATAGTGGAGTTTATGTCGATCCAACTTTTCACACCCTATGTTTTCCCTTCTTTCAGCAACACTAGCTGAAGATCTAACGGCCTGTTTGAGAGACACGATCTGGTTTCCTGTTGTGGGCGTTTACTGACCAATTCGTAGACATCGTGTGAATTTTGACACTACCGTCGTCCGTTCGTCTACACTGAAGTCAAATTTGAAGAGCTCGTTCATCTCACATTTCTGTGTATGCTTTCATTTATTGGAGCGGGAGAGCGGAAGAAAAATTTAGCAGTAATAATGCTGGTTATTATTAACATCAATTTGCAAACCTTTCATAATTCGTCCATTGAAAATCAGTTACAACTCATGATTAGTGTAATAAAGTTAAATCCTTGCTAAAAAATTGGTTTCCTTGTTATTATAAGTAAAAGCATATGTTTTTAGTTCTGTAGGTACGTCGGTGCCTCAGGCAGACTTGGTAGGTCATTGACGTGGACCAAGAATATAAAGGAACCTCAGATTATGTCTTGAGACGGTTGAATAATCTTCATCCACATGATATCCAGTTTACTCTCACTTTCTGTCTTCCAGCGCAATCGATTTCTCTCTACTACCTAGTACATATTTCGGTTAATCTGTACTTAAATTTTTTAACAATACTTCTTCGATACCCTCATGAACGCTCTAATATGGTATTACCAAAAGGTTATTGGCCAAAATCATCATTTTGATCTAATTTAAACAGGAAGAGAGTTGCTGAAAAAACTGCAGGCACAAGTTTATGCTGAAGTTCATCAAATCCTGGATTTTACAAAAACGGTACTGTGTTGACACCGGTCCCCAACCACAGAACCCTTTAATTTAAACATACTATTACTGAGTAGACTTATATTAGACATCGAACACTTTCACAGAGTCATCGAATGTTGACGCAGAAACACTTAATAGAAACAGAATGACTCTCATATACCAGAATAGTCACTCTGTTCATGCTCCTGCTCTTTTTATTAAGTACATTACCCTGTTATCATCTTGAATGTGTTCTGCATTGGTTCACTAGAAGACACACTACCGACTGTCACGAATCGATTAGTCGGTATAAACAATGATGTGACTTCTGAGTAACATCTCATTAGTTAGGTATGTATATCACGACAAATCCAAAATATTCAATCAGGTCTTGTTTTTCAGTAGAGCAAAATTGTACACTAATACTGGCCTAGACCTTAGTCTCATAGTGCGATTAACTTGAAAATCCCTGTTGATTTGAACTTTTGTGAAGCCCACCAGTTATGTGACAATAAACTGAATCACTCTAGTTTCGCTGATTATGATGTATTCATTCACAAAAATAGTTTTGAACTGTTAACTATTTCAATTTATTTATACGTGTACCTGGTTGTATGTATGTTTAAACCATTGGATTAAACCTCCGGACTATATATACTGGAAATGATGCGTTTCGCGTCTATCTCAACACACTTCGTTCAATCATCGCACTCCAAACTTTCGTTAAGCAGTCGTGGTATGTTTAAAATAAGACTAACCCTCAACCTCTCGTATGCGGCTCTTTAATATAGCGTTGCTGGTTGTAACTGATTATACGATGGTTTCAAATATGGAAGCATATGAAGTTGATAAATATTTCGTGCCATAGAAGTCAGTTCACATTCAGAAAGAATTAGCTGCTAAAATTCTACATTTTAAAACATGATTCGGGTCAACAGTCAGTGCCTGTAGACACTTCATCTATAATCTGATTGACACCCTTTAAACACTTCCAATTTGCAAATGAGCTAGGTAATATTGTGATTCATAGCCCCCCTATAAAAGTACTTTTGAAAAAGGGATAGGTGAGTTTAAGTTAATAGCCTCTTAAACCAACCCATCACTTTTGCATAGCTTCCCACTTACTTCGATTGCTCGACAAATGATATAGCTAAAGAGCGACAGCTTGATCCATACTGTTGTGCTTTCATAATGAGAATGCTGTGTTCAATATATATGAGCAATTGCCACGACGATAATAGCAGCATTGAAGTCACTGTGCAGTAAAATTTTCCGGTGCGGAACTTACCATAAAGGCCTTTGTCTGCGACAATGTAGTGGTACTGGTTCTTAACCACAGGTTTTTTAGAGTCAAAAATTTGGTAACTGAGAAGATTTACATTCAACATTCGGTACTTAGAGGAGGCCGTAAGTGGTGAACGCAGGAACGCTTAATTGAGACGCCATGGCTTGCTCATTCAGGTGCCGCCAGTCTATGTAATATCTTGCTTTTTATATCAAATACATTATTTTCTTCTCAGCCTCAATATATTCTTCAGAAGTCTTTAGCAGCAGTTGCTGAGTGTCATGACAGGATTAGTTGGCGTAGATAACCACGAGACTTCCATGTAAAGACCGATAGGTCAAGATGTAACATCATGACAGATCTACACTTGCGGAATAGGCCCATTATTCTATTAGCAAAGAGCCATACACTCAACATTGACCGAATGTGTTGTTTTAATAATTGATGATTCCCTTATACTTGGTTGCACGCTGATAACAAATTCCAAATAAGGCAGGATCATTATCAGTTCTCAAAGTTTCGGCTCCGTACAGTAGAACTATCTTGACGTTCGCATCGAAGATTCTGACTTTGATGTTGGCTTTCAGACAGTTGTTTTGAGTTCCATATGTTGTACAACTGTATGAATTCTGTCCTTGTTCTGACAATCATTTCCTTTACGTTTGCATCAGATATTCCTTGTTCATCGGTGATGCTGCTGACCAGGTACATGGAAGTTTCCGCATGTTCCAAAGCTGATTGGGTTAGTGTTATATTTGAGGATCTTAACTTTTTCCTTGTGTATGTTGAAACTTACTGATGCGGAGGCTACTGCCACACCGATCGTCGTGAGCCGTATTTGTTGGTGTGTATGGGATAGAAGGGATAGATCATCTGTGTAGTCCAAATCTTCTAATTGGTTCCGGGCTGTATTGTAATGTATTCTGTGCCGAGGTCTTCATAAACCAGTCAACCAATAAAGAGAAGAGAAAGGAGGAGATTGAGCAGCCAGTCCTCACTTGGGATGCATTTGTTAGCTGTCCTCCACGCATGACTTTTGAATGCTATCCGTCGTATGAATTTCGGATGATGTTGACACAGCGTCTTAGATGGAATAATATTGTAGGATGAAATCAATTCGCCGGTTGAATGTGTAGTGACCGGCCAGTTTCGGTAAGAACACGATTGGAATGACGGAAACAATTATTATTATTGTAACCAATTGTACCAGAGATTGTTTTACTGTATTTGTTTAACTGTATCAGTTTCACTTCTGCTTTCGCTCTCCGCCTTGTTTGGTTCGAACTTGCTCACGCACTGCCTGTTCGCCTGTACTCTTTGGCACGTCTCGGTATTATTTCGATACCACGAGATCGCCAATAAATACAATTGATCTGGATTAATAAAGTCTTCTGATTTACGAGCTATCAAAGGAACCAAGTCGTTTTTAGGCGCGTAAACGAATTGTAGTGGTGATCATAGTCCGTCCTCGACTCGACATCCACTACAAATGAATGTGTGAGCGGTTAATAAAAGTAATTCTAGCAAAGATGTAGTGAAGCGAACAAATAGTAACAACGATTCATAACAATGCACAATAATCGAAATAGAGCTACCTAAAGTGATGGGGAAAAAAGACAGAAATCATGATAAGTAGAGACATTAGAACTTCTACTCACTGTAAAAATGCTTCTGCCAAAGACTTCAGGGTCTGATGAGTTATCCGTCAGTCACTTCATTACTTGACCGAAAAATTATACCTGACTTTCGTGGGGCCGCATTTGTAATGTGGGATTCAACAGTAAGTCCTTGTTTCAAGTATGAAGTGGATGATGCTAGAACAAGTTCAGTGACGAAGAACCAAAGTCGGAAAACGTCTCAACGACACTTCCTCTGGAGAGAGACTGAGGCGCTTCAACCTGCTTCTGTTGTCTTACCTCAGATTTGAAGGTGATTTATCACTAGCTTAGCGAATGCTGAATAATGGTTTCGGCGTTAATATTTTTTATCTTTTCCTTCCATTAAGGACTGATTATTTGAGAGGACATCTTAAGAAAGTTCGCCACCAGGATTGAGTCGTTCGTGTCTGGAGTTCCGTTTCTTATATCTGTAGTTGAATTACTGATTTTCTCTTTCATGACATGTGATGCCAGCATCTTCTGTTGATGCTTTCAAAGTGAAAATGAATGTTTACAATTTTACAAATTGAGAGGACTAATATAAGTTGATTGATCTTCTTCCCTTAGTCTTGAAGACTGTAGCGTTACTATAAGTCGTTTTTGCAATTCAAATCATCCAATAGCATAAGAACACGAGATATGGCAATTTTTCAAATTATCTGACCAACTAAGGTTAATAAGATGGGTGCAGAAAAACAGTATTGTCTTTAACCTTGTTCAACGTACTTCACATTTAACTCAACGTTTAAGAATTACTTAGTTATCAACTGGTTTGTATTTTTCCACTCTATTAATGTTACTGTACAAATTAGAACTTCCATGAAAAAAAGCTTTTTATACATTAGGAAGTATGATCTGTGCTAGCTCAAATGTTTCAATTCGAGACTATGTAACTGCTCGGGATCCAGTCTTCAGTACACTTGCTTTAACCCAGTAACCTGTTCTCAGTCTGCACGTGCAGACTAATGTAGTACTACATTAGAAACTCACTTTTACCTCAAAGGTATTAATAAATGCTGATAATGTGAGTTCTCATCAGGTGCTTCATTAGTTATAACATGCTGAGAAAAACTAATTTTTTATTGAAGCTATTTTCGTTTGGTTTTAGTGCTTTGTGAGAATTTTTTGTTAGATTAGCAGCTCTCGGTGATGGGTATGTATTCGCCATCGTAATTTTACTTTAGTTGTCTTCGGAAAATTTGCATTAGTCTTATTCATAGGATGCTATTATGTTGTACTAGTTAATCTAAAGTGTGCTTCCACTGGTTTTGGGGATTGAGTTATTTCATCAAGATAATTGGTTTGCACTTTAAGTAGACATAAGAAATGAAGTGCTGTCAGTTGTTTAGTTGTAATAAGCTAAGTGCACTCTTTAGTAGCATTATTACTAGGCGTTTTTAAAAAAGTAAACCCATTTTAAAGCTATCTCCTGGGAGGTTTAGCTGCCACTTTCCCTCATCTGTCAAGGCGAATGCGAGCTCATAACAAAGTTGTAGGCACGCACTTCACAATTGGCATCAGTTTTTTGTTGAATATCATTTTAGGGTAATAGCAATTTTCTGAGTACCATTGTCCATCGTTGTATTGATGGAAATCTCCAGGTTAGACAGTCTATTTTTATGCTTCCAGTTATTGCTTGTTAAAAGTAAATGGTTGTATATGGAGTCACAACATACAACCACTGTCGTTACTTTCCGTGATTGCTACATCTGAGTTTCTACGTTTCAGAAGGATGCTATAGTGCTTTTACTAGAATCTATCACATCATCTAAACTTTTGTATGGAAGCGTCTTCAGAAACTACGAAGAGGTGATGGTATATACCCCTATTCTTCCGAATCCTTACTGTTATGTAGTCAGACAATCCACAAGCAGGTATTGAGTGTAATCTAATCTGAATGTCTGCTGCAGTTCAAAGTTTAATTTATAAACCTTTGCATGGCAGTCAATCGGCCTATCATACACGAAGTATTTGGTAGATAAGTCACATACCTAAGTTTTTCGAATTATAAACCTGTCCATCTTCTAGACTCTAATAAGCTGAACATATATATGTTAGAAAACACGATGATTTGTTGTGATAGTATTTCATTTATCTAATGTTTTGAAAATATTTTCTTATTACTTCAGCATAATAATCTGTTGTTTTATTGATAGATGAATTTTAATTATGTCAATACTGTTCTCATCTTTTGGGCGAATTTCACTGTCTTTGTATTTGGGGCTTTCCGCAATGAACATTGTATCCTTATAAATGTAATTCTATAATCCGTTGACTATTATTTCAACTGTGGATAAAGTTATCACGTTTGGTAGCTAAGGTTGTCTGCGGCTTCTTGATTGATCACTAGAAGTTTCGTGATGCAAATTAAGCTTCGACACACAACATTCGCTCACTTAATGAGCAGAAAAATGACTGAAAATCCTGGTTATGATAAACTTAGTGGATATTCAGAGCATTACATATTACCCACAACTGTTTAACTGTTAATTTTCTTCATTTAATTTTTTCCGATCGTCAATGACAATACTTTATGATTTCATTTGACGTGCTCACCGGTCTGTAGACAAACTTATCTAGCCTAAAGATTGAGAACAGTATATACATATATAGGAGCATTCATGACCTTGAGGTATCGATGCAAACGACTAACCTTCGGAACACCAATTAGTTATGCAATTGTGTACATTCCTAGCTTCAATCAACTTTCAGTGCCGCGGTAATTTATAGCCATGCTTGACATAGTTGAAATTTATTGTCCACGGCTTCCCCAAAACGCATAACCCTCAGATCCCACCCTGAGTATGCTACATTTTGGCTGCTAGTTCGGTATACAATAGTCCATACTGTCTAATAGAAACAATTTATTATGTAGCTCTACTTTCATTCCCTGTTACCAGCAAGCATTTGTTTCAGAACCTCTTTCTTTAACTCTACACATCATAGCTTTTCAATTAAAATTGAGAAATTTATTTCTAATCTAGTCATCGGTTGGTATTCATCTATTTTTCAGTAAAGTGCTCCACGTAGGGGTTTCTTTGACTTAAAATAGCTTTCATCTTGGGGGTAACTTCATCTGGAAAAGTAGGTATCACTGAGAAACTGTTCCATACTAGGTCGTCAATGTTTGAAGAAATATACCAACACAACACTCTAAACAAGGCCAAACTTAACACTTTTCCATCTCGATTTTTATCTAAAACAACATGAAATTCATCTCGAAATCTCGTTTTTATTTCCATATATGCAGAGGGCTAGGAAAAGATGTAGACTTTACAGCCTGACAAGTACAACCTTAGTTTTTGAACAGCACGATAAAATATTTGACAAGTTATATTCTTATGGTCGAATGGAAAATAACTCTTAAGTCTATTTTAGGATATTATTTTATCAATAACACGACCAATCCGACTATCATGTCCACACATACTAATCACTACTTTATTAACTCAGTTGAATATCATTTATTTTGGATCGTATGTTATTACTGTACTGTTGTACTTCATTTCTGCCTATAAGTATACTTCGTTGCAAGCCATTCTACTTAATTACATAACAAATAAAAGATAATCAAGCTTCTTTTCGTACGAAAAGAGAAATTCATGCGAAGGAATTAGCTCGAATACTGGCCGAAGTACCATCAGGACGACATGATGATGTTGCTCTAAAAATTCTTCAAAACATCATCATTGTAAGTATTGTGTTTCTCAAATATTTCCTCCCTCTTGTTTTTTGGTAGGTTACTGTCGCATTATATTATTTGGGATTTATATATTATGGTTAATTTGAAAGGGGAAGGACATTTGTAGATTATTGCTGCCTGCTAGACCTGGGGAGTTTAACTTCAGTCCTATGATTTACTGGTTTTTATTTTCTGAGGAGTCCTAAATTTCGACAAAACCTCTGTTACGTGTTTTCTAGTCCTCAGTAATACTTCAACTGATATCAGTCCATTAAGAAAACTGATTTCAATTTACAAATTCACAAATCGCTGCTTAGTTTTAACTGACTACTATAATATTTTGTTAAATAGTTAACATACACACATTCGTATATATTATATACAATACTAATAGGAATGTTAAATTACTGGTTAAATTAATAGACTTTCAACTATTGAGATAACAGGTATAAACTCTGCTCCTCCTTGTATGGTCTAGATAATCAGGTTACATTACTAGTCATCATTTATTAGAAAATTATTGTTACTTTGAAAGACAAGTACACCAATCCATACTTGGTTACTGACTTGAATTGAACGATAAGAGTTAAGTCGCTGTTGTGTATGTGGCCATAAATATGTATGTATAGTCCATTTTATCATGTTAGCTTGTTCACTTCGTATTAAGTGTACAATAGATAATTCTCAGTCTGATTTAGTGAGGAAGCGGTCGATCAGTAAACAAAAATCAAAGTTTATTTAGTTATTTGTTGAATTATTTTTTGTTAACTCTCAAAACATATCATAGTAGACAAATAATACTCATGATAATTCGGATCTATTACCAATAACAATAGTACAGGTTTCTCGAGTTTATTCAAATTGTCGTTTGTTTTCATGATGTTCAGCGGTATGTTTGGACAGTTTCATCTCACTTGTCACTTATTGACTGTATTTGTTGTGTATTCCAGTAAGTGTTAATATTTTCTAATTAAAACTGAAACTCACTATCATTTATTATGCCCACTCGCTAGACTGTTCAGAATGATAACAACCATCAGGGCAACAAGTTCAGACTCCAACTTCTTCCTACTTCATTAAGGGGAGACAAGGGTAGTAACAATAACCTGTCTAAACAGATTTAAACGCATGTTCTTTAATAAACACACAAGTCAAATAAACACAATCTCTTTATTTCTAAAACTTGGGTCTTAAAAACTATAATTTCACTATAGTTTCGCTTAATATAATTTTAGTTGGGATGATATATACACATTAATATTGATTTTTGCTTCAAGTTAATAATTTTCGTTTTTCTTTCCGTTGTGGTTGTTACTATTACTTCATTAGATTCTTCAGGAATCACGTAAAATACTAAACAATACTGATATTAATTCAGAGACTAAAGATGATACAATAGGACAAGGTAAGTATATAATAATAATAACTACTGACAATTTTCGTCTAACAACTAAACCTTCATTGATTTTCATCACAAAGTGGCTATAGTTAAACAACCATTGACGAGAATCCTCAGCATTGTCATCTAAAACTCTACCACAGATTGAATGTAAGATTTTCAGACCTTGAGACGACCCTTCATATCAGTGAGTTGACATCCAGTATCTTACATTTCTAACTCCAGTCAGACTAAAACCAACCCATGGTGTTCAACTAAAAAAATTCAACAATCTTCGCAACCCCTATTATTCTGGAAAGTTTAAATTTTAACCCCACTACTTCTTTCGTAAGATCATGATCTTTACTATGCATAAATGATCCTTATACAAAGATATGTTGGCGGTGACCATTTACAGACAAAGTAATTAGAACAAGCTGCTTTAACACTCGGAAAATAATTAAAAAACCCAATTATATATGAATTTAGCTCTAATAATATTGTTTAGAACGACAATCAATATTCCACCGCTGAATAATTTCGCCAAGAAAACTGAATAATTCGAAAAATCTCCACCTACTACACATCTCTACCAATTTGGTATGCGAAATACACATTCCTTCATCAGGTGCTCCGGTATGAGCCACTCTGTAACTATGAGGGCTAACGATACTATCTGATTTTCCGAACCGAAGAAAACGATACAGTGTTCGAGATTAGGACTTAGTGGCTAGAATTCGAAAGCTTTAACCAATAAACCATCGTCCTACAAGTTTATATATATATATATATATATATATATATTCTGTTACGTACTATGGCCCGTCAAATATCATGAGACAAAATCTCCAGCTGGAATACCAACTTATGTGACGTTGTTCCTGTGCTAAACCAACGACACATCAATCAGCACAGCAACCTTTCGTCAACTCCGAATCCTTATCAGTCATTCTCATTTAACCCTGCCCGTTAAGTCCAGAATATAATCTCAGCCTCCACTATGTAAATCGTATATTTCAGACATAAGTAGTTTACATACAAGCAGAACAGACCTCATCACATCATAAAGTGAAAAACAATAATCACACAAGATCAAGCCAAAAGTGGCTGTAAGTGTGAAAGGCTATAACTAATAAATTGGGAATAACTTAATATTAGTAAATCGTATCATAGTGCCCAATAGGTTAAATGAAAGCTTATAATAAGATATATATATATAATCCAGTTACTTAATAGTTATACAGTAAGAGTATATATCTATATATATTGTAATAATAGTCCATAATTAGTTCCCCAAATGTTACCTATAATCTGGTCGTGTTCTTACATAACAAATTCTTTCTCTGTCGTAACTTCTTATTTATTAAAAGTATGTTATAGTTAATTATTGTTTATTCGTTTCCTTTCTTCTTCTTTTTTTCAGCTTTTGCATTAACTTTTGAAAATACCGCTGTATTATGTGATTTAATTTTACGTTTTCCTGATGTTTATCATTCACATTATGATGAAATGAATGATATAACTGCATTATTAAAATGGTCATTTAATTTATTACGTGAATCGAAATTAATGAATAATATAGATGAAAATATTTTATATTTAACTGAACAAGAATTAAATCTTATAAAAAGAGATTCAAATTATGTTAATGAATTTAGTTCAAATCAGGTAAACTTTTTATTAGAAATTATTATTTATCTGATGATTAATTTTTCAAGTCATTGGGTAGTTGTATAGATGGAATAATAAATTCATTTAGTATTGTTTGTTTGAGTCTTCCCATCGATGTGTTAGGACTGCAACTGGTCAGTCTCTAATTGACATATGTGCATACTGTGCGTATTGCCTCGATATAGCCTTAATTCACAAGCATTGTAAGCAATGTGGATAGTGGCTAGCAGTGGAATCCAGGACGCGCGCCACTTCGTCCTATTTGGGACTCGTCAGCTGGATATACCTGGATCTCAGACTTGATGTTCACTCTTGGACTCGAACCTAGTACCTTTCGCTTCAACCGCCATTGCGTTATCCACTCGGCTAAGAGTGGAGAGAGTCGTTCTCCCTCTCGAAATGCTCTCATATGGCCACGCGTATACAGCCTCTGTCAGGGAAGTCCTACTTACTGCCTTCTCATGGCGGGGTTGTTGTTTACAAAATTGAGAGGATGAAAAGCGAATGTCCGGCGCTTTAACCGGGTTAGTGGACACGGAAAGTCCACCTAGGGGAGTTGGAAAACCCTCAGTCAGTCAGCTACAACGTAGGACCAGGCACATATATGCATCGGTCCAAGTTACCATACCTCGTTAGCACAACAAGATGAACACCGGATTCATAGAAGTAATTAATTTAGTGGTGGTAGTATATAAAAGATAGGTTGTATATAAGGATATAGTATAGGAAGGAAGTTATGAAGCAATTTTAATCTCAAGGTTTAAGGGAAGATAAAGAGTGTATACACCTACGCCATTGTGATCGATTCTGAACCATGTCACCCAGAGTTTCCAACCATTGGTTACGATAGTCTCGCGGACCCCAACCAGGTAGTTTGCATCTACTAACATGGCTCAGACTAGAAGTTAGTGACTTCAAGCACTGATGCCATGTTTTGGTTTGGTCACCCCTAACTCTCTTCCAACCATCGCCAATACTAGTAAGCATAGCGCGTCGTGGTAATCGGTGTTCAGGCATACGTAACACATGGCCCAACCATCTCAGTCGATGAAGATTCCTCACCTCATCAACTGATTTACCATCGTTCCCTAATACCCTGTGTCTAACCTCACTATTACTTACTCGATTATCCTAGCAGATGCGAGCAATATTTCTAAGGCATCTGTGGTCAAATACTAGTAACCTACGAGTATCTTTTACTCTTAATGGCCATGTTTCGCAGCCGTAAAGTAGAACAGAGCGAACTGCTGTGCAGTATACCTGTCCCTTAATTGATAGATGGATATCTCGTCTTCGCCATAGGTGACGTAAGTTGGCAAAAGCCAAACGAGCTTTTTGAATCCGTGCTGAGATTTCGTCAGACACCAACCCATTAGGGCTGATCAGACTTCCAAGATAAGTGAAGTTGTCGACGCGTTCGACTACTTCACTCTCTATCCTTAGTTCAGGTGTTGACGCAGGCCAGTCCTGGAGTAACAATTTACATTTGGATGGGGAGAATCGCATCCCAAACATCCTGGCATTACTACTGAGTTCCAACAGAAGACTCTGCATTTTGTCAGCGTCTTCACCAAACAGGACTATGTCATCTGCGTATTCTAAGTCGCTTAGTGGTCCCCCTGGTATTTTAGATGTTATATTAGTCAGACTAATCCTTCTATGGTTATCGCAGGATGATTTTGACCCCTTTTTATATATTGAGACAATCAGAGATTGTGACCAGTCAGATGGGATTACGTCTGTCTCCCAGATTTTAGCCAGAATATTAGTCAACCTAATCGCTAAAATTGGACCACCATATTTAAGGACCTCTGGAACCAATCCATCTGGACCAGCTGCTCTTCCTCGTTTCAGATTACTTATAGCCTTTTGAACTTCAAGTAGGGTCGGGGGGCCTACTTCAATGTTTCATTCAGGTTTTCTGGGAATAGTGGGTAGTTGTGCAGTAGCTGAAGGCCAGCTAAACTGCTCCTTAAAGTGTTCCGCCTATCGTTCTAAACGTTTGGGTTGAGAGCAGATGAGAGTCTCGTCTTTTTCGGAGATTGTCTCACTTACACTTGACTTCATAATTCCGGTTTCTTTTATTAGTCTGAAGAGTTGTCTGGTGTTGCCTACAGCTGCTGCCCTTTCCATCTCTTTTGGTTTCGTTGCCCACCACTGCTCATGATCGTAGACTTTTAGTTAACCTAGATCTAATTTGTTTACGCTCTTCGTCGTGTTTAGAGACTGATGGGATGAGTTTACGCGAATCCATCAGTGAAATAGACTTAGAGGAAATCCACTGGTTTTTTGGAGCCCCATGGTTTAAATTACTAATAGATGTTACTGCTGTTTCCACAGCTGTTCGTATGTCTTTCCAAGCAGCATCTGTGTCAGTCTTGTTTACAGAACTGCCTAGATGTGAACTCAGTTGTTTCTGGAAATCGAATTTGGCTTTCTCGTCCTCCAGTTCAATCCTAATGGGTTATCTTAGTGTACTTTTCCTGCGTCCATTGAGGCGCAGACAAATGCGTGCCCATATTAAAGCGTGATCAGAGTCTAAACAAGTATTCCAATACGAGCGACAATCTTCTATTGAGCCTCTCCAACGATGACTGATGACAATATGGTCTATTTGAGTCCATCATTGGTTTGGTGCAAGTTGTCGCCATGTTAGACGATGTCTCTCCTTATTTTTAAAATTAGTGCTTGCTAAAAATAAACGATTGTCTGAGCATAGTTGCAACAGACGATCACCATTATCAGTTCGTTGAGCCGGAATACTAAAATACCCACCCAAATGTCTTTCTGTTTGATTCAAGCTGCCTACGTGGGCATTAAAGTCACCCGCTATGAGTACTATGTCTGAGCGCTTAGCTTTCTGAAGAAGCTCAGAGAGCTTTCTGTAAAAGTCATCTTTCACTTCATCATGGCTGCAGTCAGTGGGAGCGTAGGCAGAAACGACGAAAAGGCAACAACATGTGTCCCTATCCTCCCGAGTTCTTACGGAGCCATTTAGCCGGACAGCACACAGGTGACTGTCAAAGGGGATTCATTCTAGTAGTACCTGTTCTGCCCTTGTACTTAGTGCTATGCCTACACCTGCAAGTCCGCAAGAACTAGCCAACGGGTCTCCAGACACACGGAGGGTGTATTTCGTTGGCTGTCCATTTTGGCGAGGTGAGGTCAAGTGAATGACCACACTGGGATCCTGTATGCGTGTTTCGGAGACACAGCATACATCAATGGTACGAGATTCTAGGGTTTTAGCTAAGGAGGCCTGTTGACCGATTTGGCATAGGGTACGTACGTTCAAGGCTCCAATGTGTAGTTTGGAGCGAGGTTTTAGTGGACCTGGGACAGCGTTTCGCGCACTAGAATCGTTGGCCATGGTGACATTTGAGGAGGTAACCGAAAGAGGAAGTTTAGTGTTGAAAGTCAAGGTAGAAGGAATTGAAGGAGATTGATTATGAATACGGTGGTCTTGAGTGCTGTTAGAGGTATGAGGGCAGTTATCACTTCCCGGTTGCCCACACCGTGGCAGGGTTCTCCTGGGGGTACCTGAAAAGGAAATTGGGTTAGAAGTAGTCTTAATGACCTGAGAGCGTGACCGCAGTGACCAAGGGACAACTGCTTGAGGTCGGTCACACACGACCTTTTTGTGGGTAGTTGTGTTAGCTCCGTTCTTCAAAAAAACCTTACCGCCGGAGACGGATATCCGTGGGATAAGGCGAGGTGTGCATTTTTAGGGCCGACCTTTTCTAAGCCCACCCCTCCTTGTGGGAAGGTAGCTTCGCTATCATGCTGGTTGTCTGAAGGAAACACCTTACTGCCGTCACACCTCTGTACTGTCAGCAGTACGACTTCGCCTTCGGACCTTCGGTTTACTGCTTTTAGTCTCACCGCTCTTCAAACGACCTGTCTGGCATGGTAGTACCTTGAGGAACGATTGTTCCAACCAGTATAGCTCGATTGATTCATCACGATAGGCAAACCCGACCACCACGTCAAGGTAGCAGCAACGGTCGGGTTGGAAAACCCTGATTCCAAACCACTGGTGCACATGGGCTCCAGTATCCTGAAGGAACAAATGACGTTTAAATCAATCATTGGTCACCGACTACCATGGGACTGCATCACCTTACGATGCTCCATTGCCTTGTGGATCAGACCTTTAGGTCAAAGGCTCCGGTTGTGGCCTCCTAAGAAAACCACCTGGTTCATTTTGGGCACCCGGGCAGTATCACAGCCCTCACACAAATCAAATGAGATTTGTATGGTGCATATATATCTGGTGCCCCTTTGTGCCAATATTTATGTGTTTAAATAAATAAATAAATTTCTCTGATTTTGTTTATCTTCCCTTCTGACCTTATTCAAGTTTGTGCTGATAATGTTGTCTAGAAAGGCAATGAAAGCTTTAAGATTATGGTATCCAGCTCAAAGAATTCACAGGCACCAAAAAGAACTCTTTAGTAATGTGCCTTACACAACCCTTCCAAGGATTGAATCCGGAACCTCTAGGTCTTGATACTGAATAAGTTATCTTCAGGCCACTGATTCGGTTATCCAGTGGTTCAGGTATTTAATCCCAGTAGGTTCGCTCAATACTCTAAGACCATTATTCAATACCATCGGGGATACCTGTTGTGTATCACCAGGATTATCAAAATTCGAGAGACGTTCTCGGAGTTCTAGTCAGTAATTATCACATGATGACTATTATTATCAGTGTAGAAGGAAGAGTGATGCTACTTACAAATTGAACAATCTCTGTAATTTATCTATGTTATAAAGGGGAGTATTATTCTCAGTTAAAAATTCACTAGTCCAAAAAGACTAGTTCATAACTAATAAATCAGAGTTGTTTTTAAGATTAAGAGTGACTAGCTGATTGACATACCAGCATTGTTTAATGTGATATCTTTTCTAGTAGGTGTGATCGTTCATAGTTTGTTCCTTTTGTTTCTTACAAGGATTGTAGTTCAGTGTCTAACGACCCATTTCATATGCATTAATAGAGACGGTTGGATAATATTTCATTAGGTCTTTACACATGTAAATCGAGACCTAAAACGGAGATGTGTCGAGATTAAAACTCTCGTACATATTATCCGGTTATGCACGTATTCACTTGATGATACTACCTTTGTGATAAAGTGTGTTAGCTGCCGTGCTGAATATTTTCAGCTCAAATCGCTGAGTAATTATGAAATCCCCGAAGGATTAAAAACATCTAGTGAACCTAATCAGCAATAAATAAAAATCTTAAACTTAAAAGGTTAGCTTTTTGACTGAAGTAAGTCAGTTAAAGATATGGTCATGTTCAAAACTAGTGTTTGTTGATCATTTGAAATAGTGTATACTATGAATTTCTATCAAAATAGATTGCAAAATCTTAAATTTGTACTATACATAAATTACAAGATGTAAAATGCAGAAACAACGTGATTTGACATGTCCTAGTGACTGATTGTCATCAGAATACAACTTCTGGTGCCTTTTTAATCATAGATCAAGAAAAATCTATCCTTTCAAGTAAAATTGTCAAAGTGCGTCACATATCAAACAAATTTACTTCGCATTTAATGGTTTAAAATTGTCATTTTAACTATAGACCTAATGATATTAGTTCAGTTTTATCTCGAAATATGCATCCACATTACTGAATAGTAGTTATGATAAATGGAATTAATTGTAACATTTAGTGTAATATATGAACTACTTGTTCCCAGACCTGTTCAATACATACTTTAGTAGTCACGAATGAACCTGGAAACGATGACAATAAAAAGACCATACACACCCAAATGCCCTGGTACGGCCGAGAGTGCGGAGATTCCACTTTCCCTCTCGAAATGCTCTCACATGGCCACGCGAATATATAGCCTCTGCCAGGGAAGTCCTACTCACTGCCTTCTCGTGCCACAGGTGTTGTTCACAAAAGTGAGAGGACGAAAAGCGAATGTCCGGCGCTTTAACCGGTTGGTGGGCACGGAGGGTCCACCTAGGGGAGTTGGAAAACCCTGATTCCTAACCAATGGTGCACATGGGCTCCAGTATCCTGATGGAACGAATGGCGAATGAACCTGTTGTTGGTCACCGGCTACCATGTGACTGCATCTCCTCATGATGCTCCACTGTCTTGTGGATCAGACCTTTAGGTCAAAGGCTCGGGGTGTGGTCCCCTAAGAAAACCACCTGCTTCGGTTTGGGCATCCGGGCAGTATCACAGCCCACACACAAATGACATGAAATGACGCACTACACTAACTACACTGCTCTCGTTCCTAATAGAAGAAAGACAATTTACATTATTATTATCATTATTATTATTATTATTATTTACTACGTCGCTTTTTCACTCCCTTTATTCCCAAATTGTGTATCCTTCCTTTCCAACTTATACAGTAGCTCGCCCATGGTGGAAACTTTGTCCTATCTAAACGATCTACAGTCACTGTCTGGTTGAAAGTGAATGCTTCCACCGATTATGAATACTGAAGCAGTCTTTCTGAAACCACGTACGCCGTTCAAGCTGACTTGCTTCAACGTTCGCACACTAATGCAGATCGGACAACAGATGGGGCTGGCTATGTCTTTAGAAAGTCTTAATATTGATGTTTGCTGTCTATCCGAGACCCGTATTCAAGACTCTAGTGAAGTACTACAAATTCGCTCTCCATCTGTCGCTTCGAAAAGCGTGTTTCACGTGCGCTTATCCGGGGACTCTGTGGCATCTTCGTCCGGTCTTGCAGGCGTTGGTGTTGCACTAAGCGCTAGGGCTGAGGCAGCACTAATCGATTGGATCCTTATTAACAGTCAGTTATGTGCTGTTAGATTAGAAAGTTCCATCAAAGTGAGAAGAAACCGGCGTGAGAAACGATGTCTTTTCGTCATCTCCGCCTATGCCCCGACAGATTGCAGCCCGGATGCAATCAAGGATGAGTTTTACCACCGGTTAACACTTCTTCACCAGAAAGCGCGTTCGACAGATACTGTAGTATTAGCGGGAGACTTGAATGCTCAGGTCGAGCGTCTAGGCACAGAAGAGAGTCGTTTAGGTGGCCGATGGGAACTTGTTGGTCGCAGGACAGATAACGGGGACCGTTTGCTGCAACTGGGCACAGACCACAACCTGTTTCTGGCTAGCACTAACTTCCGGCACAGTCATCGCCGGTGTGCCACCTGGCGTCCTCCCTCTGCATCTCAAGCCTGGACTCAGATTGATCACATCGCGATCAGCTCCCGCTGGCGTGGTTGTGTACAAGACTACCGCTCCTTTTGGAGTACCTATCTGGAGTCTGATCATGCCCTGGTCTGCGCCAATCTCACCTTACTTTTCAGTGCCCGAAGGATTGACCACCACCAACGGATCGATGTTAGTAAACTGGCTGCAACTTCTGTTGCAAGTAAGTATCGAGCGGAGCTAGCTTCTAGACTAGCTACCATCCCACCGAAAAGTATAGGTGAGCATTGGTTGCATCTTCACGACGCCATGAAAATAGCGAGTAAAGTCGCTTGCGGTTTCGCGAAACGTCCCGCTTACAAGCACTGGGTTTCTTCTGGCTCCTTACAACTGATGGAAGCTCGTCGGTCTACGGGTGACCGTGAGTTTGATCACAAACGAAGGCTGTTACGTAATGAAATCGGGCAAAGCTTGCGTAAGAACCGAGAAGCCTGGTGGTCAGAGCGTGCTAATGAGATGGAAGCAGCAGCTGCATCTGGTAACTGCCGGAAGCTCTTCCAACTCATCCGAGCCACTGGCAGCAAGAAGTCTGGTGTGAGTGAAACAATCTACGAGGATGATGGGATGCCAATCACTAACATCTCTCGACGTCTTGGACGATGGGCTGAAATTTTCGAAGGGCAGTTCAACTGGTCTGCTGCTCCGGCAACATCAACCAGTTTGTCCTGCCCCCCATGGCCGGTGACGACTGATCCACCAAACGAGGCGGAAGTCCTCAAGGAACTCCATTTCTTGAAGCGCTACAAATCACCGGGCCCAGTTGACTTACCTCCGACTCTTTTTAAAGATGGTGGTGACCTTCTGACTAAGGAATTGGCTGTGTTGTTTGCGAAGGTTTGGGAGCAAGAAAGTGTTCCAACATCATGGAATGAGTCAATAGTCGTCCGTATCTTTAAAAAGGGTTCACGTTGTTCCTGTAAGAACTACCGGGGGATAAGTCTACTTCCGATTGCGTCCAAACTATTGGCTTCTGTCATTCTTCGTAGGTTGTTTAAAACCCGAGAAAGGTTGACTCGCGAGGAGCAGGCTGGTTTTCGTTCTGGTCGAGGATGCATTGATCACATCTTCACCCTCCGCCAAATGTTAGAACACCGTCATACTTATCGCAGGCCAAGAATCGTAGTGTTTCTTGATATCAGGGCTGCCTTCGATTCGTTGGACAGGACTGTTCTCTGGGATTGTCTATTGAAGAAGGGTGTGCCTGAGAAGTTCATTAACATCTTAAAGACTCTGTATACGATCACCTCAGGCAGAGTGAGGGCATACAACCACCTTTCTCCCTTGTTTCATTCGAACAGTGGGGTTAGGCAGGGTTGCCCGATCTCACCATTCCTCTTCAACTTTGCCATCGATGACATCCTGGAAACAGCTCTGATGGATGTAAGTAATGGCGGTGTGGATATGTTGCCTGGAGAACGACTTCTCGACCTCGAGTATGCGGATGATATTGTCTTACAGTGCGATAATGCCCAAGGCATGCAATCCGCACTTAATCAGTTGGCAATCAGTGTCCGCAGGTACGGCATGTGCTTTGCACCCTCCAAGTGCAAAGTACTCCTACAAGACTGGCAGGATTCTCATCCTGTACTCACCCTGGATGGTGAGCAGATTGAAGTAGTTGAGAAGTTCGTGTATCTAGGTAGCTATATAAGTGCTGGTGGTGGCGTGAGTGATGAGATTGATGCACGTATAATGAAAGCCAGAGCGGCTTATGCCAATCTGGGCCATCTTTGGCGCCTTCGTGATGTTAGTCTGGCTGTAAAAGGTCGGATCTACAACGCGTCGGTGAGAGCAGTTTTGCTCTATGCTTGTGAAACCTGGCCTCTCCGAGTCAAGGATGTTAGACGACTCTCTGTGTTCGATCATCGTTGTCTCCGAAGGATTGCTGACATCCAGTGGCAACACCATGTTAGTAATGCAGAGGTTCGGCATCGTGTGTTCAGGCGCAGAGACGATAATTCAGTTGGTGTCACCAATTTGACTTCGGTGGCTTGGACATGTTTTACGAATGTCGTCCCAGAGACTTCCACGTCGTGCATTATTTGCCGACTCTGGGACTGGTTGGAAAAAGCGGAGAGGAGGTCGGTGTATGACATGGTGTCGTGGCATGAAAGAAAGCTTCAAAGGGCTGGCTTCTGTTGGTCCTTCACGACTCCCTGGCTGAGGTCCGAGAGATGGTGCAACACAGTGGCTAGAGACGTTATCAGATATGGCTCAGAATAGAAGCCAGTGGCGAACCTGCTGTAACCTTCTTTTACTTTCTACATAAAGAGTGGTTCTAACTTTCTTAACTGAGTCTTCTGGTTGTACATTTCAGTCCGCCTTATCTTTTCATCCCTTCTCTCCCTACTTTCATTATTTTGTGTGGCGCATATGTATCTGGTGCCCTTTTGTACCAATATATATGTGTTTAAATAAATAAAATAAACTTGCAAATGTATTGTATCGTAATTGGAATTCAGTACTCAATAAAGTACAAAACAATAATCGTTTTATACAAACATATCAGTAATCCTATACTAAGACAAAACAACTAAGCTACTCAGTTTATGTGCTGCTTGATTTTCATTGGTATCTCCCCTGACTACCGTTTGTTTTTTTGTTTAAATTTGTATCAGTTTGCCTGTTTCTTTTCTTCACTTCGTGTTGTCGCTTTACTTATTTATTTTTATAGAAAATGATCAAAGAGAAGTTGAGAGCAGAATCAGAGCGTAAAGCGAAAAAATCAACTGTCAAACGTGTCAAGAAACCTCGACTTACACCAGTTCGAAGTGAACTCTAATAATTTATTTAAATGTCCCCTATACATTTATGTACAATACATGCATATGTATATATGATTATGTATTTATTCTAACTTTCCGTTTTCTTTCATAATTTACTAATGTTGATTATAACATGAATGATGTTCTTATCGAGAGAATTTACTTTGTATTATTATTGTCTATAAATACCTCTGTGTGTGTGTGCTTGGCTAGTTTAATGTACTACTATGCAAGGAACTTCAGTTTTCATATCGAAACATATCTACCACCAATTAATAATGAGGTTTATGGGCATTGGTTACAAACAGCTATGTTTGCACGTATGCTTGGGAAACTGAGATTCCCAGTTGTTTTTACTAATTCAGTGTTATAATAATTGGATAACATAAACACACAAACTTACATTCAAATAAAAAAGGAACGAATCGAGCGAAGAAATTTCTTTTCAATTAGTTTTTCATCATGGCTCTACACTAATATATATATGATTTACAATAATTAAATAACACTCATGGAGTAGATACGTTACGTAATGATTATATAATGACATCGATTATAAACTAACATTAATTGGAAGAGAAGGATTAATACTAATCAAAGTAGTTATTCGAAAATTAAGCTGTTGCTACGTTGCATAATATATAAAAAAGAGAAGTAAGAACTAACAAAATATTTTGATGAATGGTCAGTAATATAGTAATTATGTAAGAATCAAGAGACGAATGAAGAGAATAAGTAAAATACAAAAAATGGAAGGAATAAGATAATTGTTTACCGAAATTATGCTCCAAATCCGCTATACCGATGGCCAAGGTAGCGAGAGTGGTTGTACAAACTTCTTTTGGATACATAGGTTCGGTTTGTGGATATGAATTGCGATGGCTTCAGCTATGTGCAACAGACGAGCTCGTAAACCATGTGGTTAATTATTATCTTATCTTACTACATCCATCGTCAAGAAGGTACAAGTATTTATAAACAGTTGTTTACGCAAAATACTCACCATTCACTGGTCGGATACTATCACCAACAGCGTTTTATGGGAGGGGACAAACCATCTTCCAGCTGAAGAGGAAATTAGGAAAAGACGTTGGAAGTGGACCGGACATACATTAAGGAAATCACCAAACTGCATCACAAGGCATTCCCTAACTTGAAATCCGGAAGGGAAGCGAAAAAGAGGAAGGCCAAAGAATACATTACACGGGGAAATAGAAGCAGATATGAAAACGATGAATAACAACTGGAAGGAACTGGGAAGGATTGCCCAGGACAGAGTTGAATGGAGAATGCTGGTGAGCGGCCTATGCTCCTCCACGAGGAGTAGCAGGCGTAAGTAAATAAGTACATTCATATCTGTAGTTTAATTTTATAAATAAAACAGGAACTTGTTGTACTGATAATGAAGTTACCAAGAATTAATCTAACATATTTCCAAGTATCAAATATAAACTTCATAATAGTCAAATGTTAATAAGAATGAAAATAACATATAGAATAGAAATTCGAAAGATTATTGTTCACTTGACGAATACATGTCAAAAGTAGCTTTAGAAAATAATAAGATACAGAAGAGAAGTGTTAGGACTGTGGTAAAATAAGGTGATTGGGTATATCGCTTTTAAACACTAAGACTGAGCTTTGATTGATGAATTCTCAAAAACTTGCTATGCATAGATTTCTTATCTAAATTCCTTTCGAATCAATTCGTTCTATTGTATTTTAGTTTGTTATCGGTTAAAAATTATTGATATGTGTGATTAGTTACTGTTGATCTGGTAATTTCTACCTTATTTTGCCCAAAATAATTATTTTCATCAATAGTTCAATCACTTTATTTAAAATTCGAGAAACATTGAAATATGAAATTGTACTCTCCCACCGTTAACTGTTCTGAGTAATAACCCAAGGGTACATCTTTGTTTTCAGAGGTAGATGCTTTGTAAGTATATATAAGAGTAAATGCATATGAGAACATGAAATTAATAGATAATGTAATTCGATGATTAAGTAATTACATAAGTGGTAATTATACTTAATAATATCAACAGTCAAGGATATGGAGTAGTGGCTGAGTCGGTTAAGACATAACTTTCGACACAATAGGCTCCACATATTCTGATGTGGTCAGAAAGACAGAAGTATCACTATTATTCACACATAGATTAAAAGGTAACTAATAGTCTACTTCCTTAATTTTGGGTCATATATTTCCTACATCTGGTAAACAGAAATTACAAGTACATATTTATATGACTGTGGGAAACTGGTACTTCAAACCGGAAGAGAACGACATTCACACGATTAAAGGAAAAAAACTGTTGCCAGACTGATTTCGTTCGGCCAACGAAAAGCACTTATAAACCATATATATTCTTTATCTCGCCTTAACACATCAAAAAAAGTATCTTACATCTTCCAGTCTTCCTTACTAATTCTTTATATGAATCTCCCGTCTTGCTAAGCGGATAATGTGTGATTCCAAATACATATTGGTTGAATGTTGAGTGCTTACAAGTTACTCAATGCAACCGTGAGACATAACTAAACGACCTTGAGGGTGAAGAAGAAAGAAACTGTCCTATCATTGGCCGATGACCTTATAAGTTAGGAAGTGGGAGAGACGATTTAGCTGGAACAGAGTAACCGATTTATTCCTGATTGCACTAAATCGAAAAAGGTACATGAATAAATGTATGACTAACAGGACTACAACTAACAAAGAATGGGAAACTACAACCATATCCAAAGTTAGACATTGAAGTAGAAAAAATGTAAAAAAGGAGTACATTTAGACTACAATCTTTTTGGAATAGAAGGGAATATTATAGTAATTTGCACAATAAACGAAAGTTTATAAGACATGGGATAACTAAATTTTAGTAGTTCAAAGACTTCTGACTAAGCAAAACAATGTTCCAATGAATAGGTTTCGTTTTTTGTCATTACTCCCTCATTCTTTTCTTCATATCACAACGGTATTTGAAATTCATTTGGTACTTAATGGTTGAATTCATGAGTCGCTTAAGGCTAGACCACAATGGAAAACCTGGAAGCACTGGACGGTCGTTTCGTCCTAGTATGGGACTCCTAAGTGGTGCGTATTCATGATCTCGATCACAGGATTCGGACCCAGGACCTTCGGTCTCGCGCACGAATGCTTAATCTCTAGATCACTGAGCCGGTATCCAACGGTGTTAATGTCTAACTTCAACCAATCCACGAAATTGAGCCACCGTCCACCATTGTCTTCAGTGAGTAACTGCCTCACACCAGACCCTGTTGAACTCCACTGGTCATGGCTTCTCCCTACAACTGCAGCAAATCCATCTTGAAGCCAGTCACTAGTGAGCACACGATGATTATTATCAGAAAGAGAGTTTTGTGGAGATTGCATTAATTTAAAAGTTGGTACTGTTTGTTCAAATCTTCCCATTGAAGTTTAGAACTGTCTCTTATTGGCATATGTGATAGCCACAAACCATCTTTGCCTACGTGTTGTCTTTCTTCCGTCGACTTAAAGGTACTACCGTTCATCTTGCTTATAACTGACTTGGTTTCAGAAGTCAAAACAGTTATCCATTAGAATACGTTTTTTTCTTTTAGTAACATAACACGCTTACAAATAAAGTATTGAACACAAGAATAAACCCGATTAGAAGTGATTGAACAAATAAACAAATGGAGAATATACCAATTGTAGGTCATTCGCAGTTAATCGTTAGACGTAATTCACTACCCGTCATATCAGATATGTGCTGTATAATAAATGAATCTCTAAAAATCATAAGGAGTTTTGTGGAGATTTCAGTATTTTCATAGTTGAAATCATAAGTCAATTGAAGCTAGACCACCATGGAAAACCTGGAAGCACTGGACGGCCGTTTCACCCTACTACGGGACTCCTCAGCAGTGTGCATCTACGGTCCCGCCTCGCGGAATTCGAACCCAGGACCCACCAGTCTCGCGCCAGAGCACTTAACCGATAGACCACTGAGTCGGCATTTAACGGTGTTAATGTCTAACTGCTAAGGAGTCCCATAATAGGGAGAAACGGCCGTCCAGTGCTTCCAGGTTTTCTATGGTGGTCTAGCTCCAATCGACTCATGATTTCAACTATGAAAACTGTAAAAATCAGTTGACCAAAACCGAGATCAATTTTTAATTTTTATTCATTTAAAGTTGTGACGTATCGATCTGAATAGGCTTGAAAGTTACACCAACTAACCTATCAGTCTATATCTAATATTGTCGACAATAGAATAATTTCATTAAATCTTTATATATATATATGTAATGAGCATGAAGTCAACCAATCATTGTGTCGAGTAGTTTAATAGTTGACCTGTAAATAACTTGTCCTAGTCCAGACAACCATTTTTTAAAAACATTTTGGTGAATTATACATGTGTTCTTTTGTTTTTACAAGTAACAGAACATAGAGAATTAAACAAGGTATTGACCACTATCACTGCAAAATAAATTCATAGCGTGTTGTTCAAAAGAGGTTTCGATGAAGCACTATCACAATGTTTTAATGTTTAAAGCAGTTGACTTTCAGCCAACATTAGAGTACCTAATTTGGTTCAGGTAGTCAAATAGTTGTCAGACAAACAGTATTAATAAAAGTTGAGTACCTAAACTTGTACTTGGTGAATGAGTTACCTCCAGTAGTCATATTCAACACGTTTTCTAACTTTTAGAAGTGAACATTATTTTGCTGAAATATACAAATGAACCTTATCGACTAAATTAAGATTTCGCATCATTATATGGAAGTACTGACTACTGGTCTCAGAAGTGTTCGTTGGAACAGACTATCTTGTTAGCGTCTATGTGAAAACTAAGATTAAAATTAGAGATTTTGACTGGCATTAGTCAGAATCGGTTACACTGAGATAGATACGTTCACTTTTCATCCTCCTCTCCATCTCGAGTTGTGATATTCATTCACACATTTCTTCTCAACATTTAATCTTTCTCACTATCATCGTTACTGCAATAATTTCAACTCCTTTGGCATTTGTCTTGTTAATTAAATCTCATTTTGATAATATGGCATAGAAACTTGTGCTAACTCATATTTATCCCAGGCTCTTTGTTGTTTATGTCCGTAACTGATTACAAATGCACATTCCTGATTAGGAATCAATAGACTGAAATCCAGACAATTTTTCAATATTATTATAATACCCAACTGTTTCCATCTTAATTATATTCTCCTCCCCCATCTAGTATTAAATACTTACTTACTTACATAAGTAACTGTAAACGAATGAAAAAAAAACTTTTTAAACATTGTGCCATTTGTCCAGTTTTCAGCTTGAAAAAACAAACAAACAAAGTAACTTGAATAATAAGAACTGTGCAAAATTTTATTTGGTTTTTAAGAATTTCCAGATTATTTTGTTGTTTAAAAGAATGAAAATCT